GCGGCACTAAAGGCATAATAGGATATGACTGCGGATCTGCATCGACGAACATTACGACTCTATCATTACTGGGGATAGAGGAATGTGATATACCACAGCCAGAAGTAGCAGCTCAAAAGATTTATATACAATTGCTACAAATTAACGAATTTACCTCCGCGAGAGTTATACAATGCAAAATAGAAATAGACAGATTAATCAGGAGATGCGGAATGTTCTCTCACTCCATGGACGTGTACAACGGAAAGCACGCGTATATAGAAGAGGTATCAAGAGACGCCTGCCAACGAATGCATATGTACTGTCGTATCCCCGCAGAGGAAAAAGGTTCGATGAGTAATTTATCTGCCACGCACTGATTAAGTCTTCGCAATCGTTTTATTCACTACCCTTCGTATACATGTGTTCCTTACGCTGTCCGGAGAGGAAGAGAGCCCGGATCTGCCGATACGCGTGTATATCTCGCACGTTATCACCCCAGCGCCATCCTACCTGCTCTCCTGTCCTAATCGCGCTATCATGCTTACGCGCCTAATTCAAAAGGACGTGTAACTATGTAACATGGATATATAAGCGTATTCGAAGATATTAATGATATACATCTAGCTAAGCTCTTAGTTCAATCCATGTTTCGTGACGTGAGCGAATTAATACTTGCCGTGCGAGAAATATTTGCTTCCCTTAACTCACCTGTTATTCACGCTAAAATTAATCACTTTGTATTGCAATATAGCCTTTTTTGACGTAACACAATTACATGATAATTCAACATATATAAAAATAATTATTTATTCAAGTTTTGTTCGAGGCTTGCGAGAAAAACGAAGCTAGAAGTATTCCTTTCCACTATAAATTAATTCTGAATTTTTTCGCAAGCTAAGTTTTGAAACGACAAGTCAGGAGAGTCGGAAAATGAAATCGTGCGAGAAAAATCTTAATTCATGCAGATGAAATCATACGATTTTGACAGCACGACACGCCGGGAATCACGTGTATTTGTCCCCCCCTTCGTCTACTCGGCCCGCTCGTCATTGGTGGCTCTCCCTTATCCTTACCTCCATCGTCTATCAGAACCGTAGCTAGAACACAGGTGCTTTGCCTTTAAAATATCAACTAAAGTTTCCTTTCATTAGATTGCAGCTGCCTTGATTGAATTCAGGTCATATAAAATTATTAAGCGACGTGATATCAAAAAACAACACAACTAGCAATAATCATTTAAATTGAATTAATTAAACTTTCCATTCCTTCTAATTGTATTAAATTGTGACAAGCGAGAAAAGCGTATAATATTTTTGCTCGAACTATTTTAATTCTTTTGTATATCAACACGTGGGTTTGACGATATATAGATTGGGAAATATAAGGAAAACTTTCCTTTTTTACTGTCCTGATTAAGAAATAGGTATATAATTTAATTTATACATGTGATACATTATAACGATACGTTTTATTAATCTACTATTGAACATAAATGATAAACATGCAAAAAAATTAATTGTAAGCTTCTGACGTATAAGTAAAAAAAAAATTGATATAATATTTCGCTTGTAATATCACAATTTAACAAAATTGCAACGAGAGACCGGAAGCCTAAGAATTAATTTCGATCTTTTCTCGCGATTTTGTTATTCTTCAGGTCCGAACGAGACCCGATTACGATCCTGCGGCGACGCCGTGCGTTATGGCGCCGCCCGGTGCGCCGCAGCCGCATCGCGACGCATCGCCGGGACCGGAATCCGTCTGTTCGTCGAGCCGTGACGACACGCGCCTCGTCTTCGCACTTCCTCGATTCGCGAGAGAGGAAGAGGCGAGTCGTCTCGAGTACGAGTACGCGAAACGCGATTCGGACCGACGTTCGTGTCCGCAACTGCGCAAAGTGCGGGTGGATGTATAGGCGGGGAGTCGCCGGTGGCGGCGGCATGTGCGATTCTATCGATCACACGCGGATTGTCAACGGGTGTGTGCGTTCGTACGATACGCTTAGCGTCTGCTTGCTTTCCTCGGCCGTGTATTGTGCCGCCGCCGAATTTCCTCGCGGATCTGCGCGCGCGACGCCGCCGGTGAGCGTGTGCCACCGTCCTCTCAATTCGCCCTTAATTCGCTCGTCGTGTAACGACATTAATCGCGAGCTATGTAACCACGTGCACGGGTGTTAATATCCGCGCGGCTTTGTACGCCGGAGCTATATCGGCTTAAACGAAGCCCGAGGTTGTGGTCGACGAAAATAGACGCGGTGTATCAAGTGTGAGTCAAATGAATTGCCCGCCGAGCACATTGTCATGCTTCACAATATTCCGCGGCGATTTTGCACGCGAAAAACTGTCGGGAAGCGGCATGAGTGATTCCGTCGGATTTAATGGGAGCGTGAGGTATCTGGCAGCACGCGGGAATTCGTGAGAAATTGCCGCGTGGAAGCGAACTTATTAAGCTCAGTGCTGTTAGATGCAAGACAAAGAATCAACGGAAATATGTACCAAAGAACGATTCCCACACCGTGCAACAGTCATTTTTATTTGCACTCTTTAACTAACTTTGGGTAATCTTTTTTTATATAACGACTTCTGTGAATATTTGACAAAAAAAAATTGAAAACATTTTCTTAAATATTTCTCTTGAATAGTCAATTTTTAAATATTCAACTCTGGAATTTAATTTTTACATGATATACGTAAAACGACCGGCATCGAGTCACTAAAAGTAAATATATATTAATTAAGAATACGTGATTTCGAAAAAAACAGTGCATAAAAATATTATTTTATTATATTGTATAAAAATTCAAGACAATAACTTCAAATGTGGAGTGTATTCCACCCCTATCAAAACAGACACGACGCAATATTTGCCTGGCAACTGTATTGACGTCCGTTGACTGCAAAGTTGTCAAGTGAGTTATAGCGTTACCGGTAAATCCGTCTCGTAATAATATTGAAAATAGAACATTGTCTTGCGGCTGATAACGGCTTATCAACAAAGCCTAGATATACATATATAGAACAAAAAGATAGGAGAAATGCCGCGAATAAGTAAACGAATGGTTGCTCGCTAAATTTGCGCGTGATTGCTGCCGGCTGGTGGCGAATTATCCACCAGAGTAATAACTCTCGCAATGAAGCAAACCGACTGGCAAATCTCCCGAGTACGATAAAAGTTAACCGGTGAGATCTCGCGTACGCGACGAGAATTCTTCGGTGAAACTCTTCAGTCGCGAGCGCAATAAAAGGATGGCCATTACTTTATTTGTTAATGATAGCAGAATTTAATTTAACTTTTTACAGTTTTATGTATATCGGTATTTTTTAAAAACTCCGTAGATACTTCTGTCTGAAAACATTTACAATAAATTATAAATTGTTAGATTAAATGCTAATGCATAAGTCGTTCGTAAAAAAATCATACATCAATATTTAAATAATGAACAGTTTTTATGTAACAGTATTTTAAATTGCTTATTCACAATTAATTTATCGGTAATTAATCTGGACTGATTTTAATACCGATTATTCTTTTTATATCGCGCTATTTTTCCGGATCGCAAAGGGTCGGTGCGTAGGCGTCCCTCCGCGGAAGGGTTGCTGGACGCGAGTACATTGGTATCGATCAAAAAGAACCCTCGTGCAACTTTGATGAAGCTTTCCCGCGGCGCATATAACGCGTACAACCGTGTGCAACGTGACCGGCGCATCCTCGTGGCGGACTGTCGAGCGTGAAACGACGTGACCGTCGTCTTGCGCCGAGGCATAGAGTTCTAACTGACCGTAAATAGAGAGACGATAAAGCGCTGTATTGTTTCAACGGCACCAAAAAATTCCGAATACATTGCTCTTTCACGAGAGATATTAATATCGTACAATAATGGCATATAGAAGATATAATTAGACGCTTCGAAATGATTTCATAAATATAATTACGTCCTCGTGTCTGTATTTAGGGAATCGATATTTCCTAGAAAATAACAGCTGTGATTTTTTATCAATTTTATCAATATAAAATTAAATTATTAGCATTTTATTAGATAATTAATATTATTCGCTTAAGTAATTTATTACACGAAACGTTATTAAAAATAATATCATCGATTTAACGGAAAAAAGTAGTATTTTAGAAATCACGACATTTTATTGTTCTAAAAAGCATATATGCGAGATAAAAATTTTTTCACACGTTGTACTACGTTCGAACGAGATACACATTTCTAGGACGTTCGCAACGCTGCTAAGTTGTTATGACGATGTATAGCTAACCAGAGGATAACAAGCACGTTTCGCAAGATCAATTCACGATATAGTAAACTATACGTCAGCGTATTGTGTGTGTGACAATGTTCGGCTACGATATACGGGATGTGGGCTGAGAAAATCGAGGCGCGTCGTTCCACGATAATCTCACCTAATCCGAGTAAATTTATACTTCCGAGGGAAATTCTCGCGTCCTGCCAGATCTGAAAACGCCTGTAGAAAACGTCCTCAGCCTAGTTGCATAGCGCTGGTCAGAATAACCGATATTATCGCGCAACGTTTAATTACGACGCGGCAATAACTCGCCGAGCGAACTTTTGCTACCAGCGAATTTTGCTCGCCGCATCGACCGTCAGTTACTTGCAATATCGTGTACCAATTTTCATTGCATAACGTTGACGATAGTGTACAGAGCAGTTCAAAATGCAATTTAATACGCAAATTTGTTACGATAAATGAGGAATATAAATTCTTATTATATATAATTTCTTTATCAAAGTCTTTTTAGCGCTTTGACGAATTACGGTACAAAATCTTATTTAATATAATTGGAATAATAATTTACGGATTTGTCAAATTATTTAATATTGAAAACTCAAGCTGTGAGAGATTTAAATCTATTTAATATAATACTTGCTGCGGAAAAATCAATTCTAAACATTATTAGATAATTTCTCCAAAATTAAAGCAAATCTTATAAAATATTCTATACATTGCAGATGTATCAATGTTTTCTTCGATTTTTTATAACAATGCTATACATTGCACAACACATGATGTATTAAAGATACGAAGAAAGTGAAGTCAGTGAAGTTGACAAGAATTCAAATCGGTTTGTGGAACTATCTGTAGCTCGATGATTCTCCTTGTCGTGGCGGAGTGTTGATTATACATCGCTCTATTGAATAAGTCGCAACGTTCCGTGACAATACGATAAGTATCAGATCGTCAGAAGCGGCGGGCAAGCCAAGATGATTCTCCGCCGAAAGTCGCTGCACAACTGCAATTGTCCCTGTCATCAACACTGCTCCACCAAATGCAAAGGTTTGAGTCGCATTGCTCATAGTATTTTCGCGACGCTCATTGTTGGTCCTTCATTGTCAGTGTAGAAACTCGATGCGTTTATACAGGCAGATGCAAGTATCATTTGCATATCGTCAACTTTGTCTTTAACATATTGTTCATTTCACGTCATTTATTTTCCGCGAGTTACACTTTCCGTAGTGGAAACTTTTCAGTTGAACGCAACAACTGTTGCTTATTCTTCTAACCTTTGAACACATAATTTTATCTATTCTCATCAAAATATGTAAATATTATACGCATTTAAAAGTAAAAACGTCCGCGAGTTTGCCGTTTTAAAGCAAGTGGCATTTTACGACGTGAAAAACAAGTGTGAGTCAAGTGCAGAACCGAGAATACATTTGCGTGACGTATGCGATAAGTTGCGATATCATAAAGTTGCATACAATTTGTTCCTGTAGAACTTTTATTTTGTAAAACTTTTACGAGTTTACTGAATAAGAAAAAAGAAAGAGAGATTTACGACGAAATCGTGTAAAACGAGCTGAGAATTTTTGTCTATAAATTTATTAACAATGCAACGCATAAAATTGCGTAAAACTTTTACCTATAATTTTAACAGAAATTCAAAATTACGTAGTGAACAAAATTTATAAAGTGAATAAATATTTGCGCGCTCTTTATTGTTTAATAATTTTGTACAGAATACAAAAATGTCGCTACGAGTTCCATCAGTAGACAATGTTCTCATTTCTGCTTATATGTTGTATATTACAGCAATATTTTTCTTCTCTACGCAAAATTATCTTTTAAAGTTTCATCACGTTACGTTTCTTTTTACTTTTATTATAGAAAGTGATATAACTTGCGGAAAATGATTTTTTACTTTTTTTGTGCAAAAAGGATTGGGTGTGCAAATATTTTTTTTTTGCTCATACATAGACCGTCTGAAATGGCCTTAAGTGTGTTCACCATCGCTCTTTACGTGTGATGTGTGGTGCATGCTATTTGGAGCGTGCTCGCCGTCGCGGCACGATGTGCATTGTGCATGCATGTGATCTCGGGTATTCTCCCCTCGCTCGCACGATTACGTTCGCTCCTTGCTTGCGATGGGGAGGCACCAGGGCTGTATTTGTGCCCTTCCATCAATCAATAATCGTGCCCGCTTCCGCCTTTGCTCGGAACGTCGAAGCACCAGAGTCGGGTATCGCTCTCCCGATATCGAAATTCAATTAAATTTTATTTTTGCGGTTTAACATTCGTGATTAAATTATAACCACAAATACTATTACTAATTTTCAATGAATGAATAATTTTTATCGAACTTGTGTTACATTTTATTAATATTTAGCTAAATATATTATCACAATTTCCTATTTTTTAAGTTAAATTTTCTATACTTTGAAATTTAATTATAGTTAATAATTGATTAATCTCTCTTTTTTTTCGATATTATCGAGTAAAATATACGTGAACATTACATATCCATTTATAGATTTTTGATCAAGCAAATATAATTAAATTGAAAATTGTCTTATTTTTACAGTTTTATTTGCACACCCAATCCTTTTTGCACAAAAAAAGTAAAAAATTATTTTCCGCAAGTTATATCACTTTCTATAATAAAAGTAAAAAGAAACGTAACGTGATAAAACTTTAAAAGATAATTTTGCATAGAAAAAAAATATTGTAATAAAATCTGGAAGAGAAAATTTTGATCATACGGTCCCTTTTTCGCGTCGATCCTGGGAGAGCGCTCTCCCCTCTACATACGATAACACGAACTAGAAGTTCGCCATATCGTCGGGAGTGTTAGTGAATACGACACGATTTATCACGAGGAACAACGAGGACGGATTCACGGAAATGCTGTTCTTGTCGATGTGACATCCGTGGAATCGTGCGACAGTTTATTCAAATTGTGAAACATACGACACTCGATCAAACAACGGTAAGTACGATCATTCATGTAGTAGACTTTAGAGACGAAAGTTGGTGACCGAGAAGCGCCTCAGCGATTCTCGACCTTAGATATTAGTGCTTCTCAGTTATGTTTCCTTACGATATTTTTCTTTTTTTTCACCTTCTGAATCCCGAATGCTTTTCGTTCTAGATGTCAAATAACAGCTAAAGAAACATCTGTGAATTTGATCTTCTAAGCTGTATTTTCTGCACTTCTCACATTGTCCGCACATCTATTTTGTTTCTAAAATTTATTGCTACTAAACAATAGTAACTACAAAATATATCTTGTTATGACAGGATAACACAAAAACGATTTCACAATATGGAGGAATTATTGGAAGAAAAAAGGAAATAAAGACAGAATCTATTGTTGCCGCTGATAAAATAGAATAACAAAAGGATCAGAAGTAACAGCTGCAGAGAAGAAGGTAAGATTTTATGTATTTTATGTATATATTTCTCTCAGAGAGATATTTATATTTTATATTTAGTTATACATTAAACATTCTTCTATACAATTTAACCCGACATTTATTTATATTAATTTTTATTGCAGAAACAAATAGAATGCAATAGTCCCTCTACCACAAAATCGAAGAAACCTGTCGCAAAGATCAAGACGAAGAAAACTAAAAATGTTGGTCAATCTAGTTACGATCCCACGAAGCTGGAAGACAGTTCAGCTCAGGTGTTGGAACGCTTTAAAAGAGGCTGCGAGTGTGTTGACGATCAGTGCTTCAAAGATTTAAATCCCGACATAGTTTATCGGCACAGACTGAACATTGCAGAACTGACTAAAGCCGAGCACGACATGTATTTAATGGGCGTGACAATGGCTTGCTTGACGGATCCTTATCAAACTGTTCGACAAACGGAACGACGTAGATTACGCACACAATATGTTTACCAGGGTAGGAGAGTGTGTCTGGACGCGTTTCTGTACTTACAGAACTGCACGCACTATCAAATCAAACGGATCAGGAAACATCTAATGACGCATGGCGTAACGCCTCGCGTACACGGCAATCATGGCAAGATTCCGCACAACACGTTCTCGCTGGACATATATAAGATTGCCACAAAGTTCTTGAAGAACTTCATCGAAATGCAAGAGGCCAAGCAGAAGACCAAGCTCGTCAAGAACGCGCCGCTCCATTTACCGCCGGATATCACGCGCAAAACGGTGCACGAAATGTACACGCAGTACTGCAAAGAAATGTCGCCCGACGTCAAGAGCATGGGCTACTCGACATTTCGGCGGTTCATGAAAGTGCAGTTCCCGCAGGTGAAGTTTGCCAGACTGGAATTTGTGGTGAGAAACCAGACCACGCAGAGTCATTGCCAGACGGAACCCGATCCGAGGGACGACACGGGCCAACAGACATCGCCCAAGTCGAAGCTAGAGGCGGAAGGTAGCAGGATATTGCCGTTAGTGATAACCAATACTTTACGGCAGAACGAGACTTACGTGCTGACACCAATCAGTAAACTACAGGACGGCATAAGTTATCAAGTTACCACTCGCGGATTGGTAGTTGATAATCCTACTACTGTCACATTGAAAACGGAGTAGCATAAACCAGAAGACTGCATGTAACTTTATACACAATGATACATATATGTATATGTGAATGTGATATACGCCTATATTATAAAGGTAAGGTTCTAATTTCTTGGCACTGTGAGCTATGAGAGACCAATAATATATTACATATATGCTATTACATATATGCTATTAGATATTTGTGCAGACAAATAATAGAAACATTTTATATAAGTATGAAAAGTGAAAAGATAATATACAATTCTCTAAAATAAGAACAATATACAAAAATTATTGTAAGATCGTAAGTTGTATTATATTAGAGATATAATCTTGTTATTGTCTATCTGCTATTGTATTATTCAGATTGGATCAGTAAGTTATGTTATATTCAAAGTCCATAGTTTGAATCTAATTGCACTGAATATTCTATTCCAATATTGACCATTACAAAGCACTTAGCGAGATACTCGTAAATTACCATAATTTTATATACTATTACCATAGTATATAAAAAAACGTTAATAAATTTAAATAAATATAAGAAGAAAATTATGTTTGTTAAAACTTTATTCCCTTCTTTATTTTAAATAATACTGTGTCAGAAGTTTCCTTGTATTTTTACATTTTTATATTTTTTAATCATTTTATTAAAATAAGTGTAAAAGTGATTTGATTTGTAAAAATCACAATATTGAGAAAATATATTGAATCATGTTTTAAAGATATTTGTTTCATGTAAAATTAAATTATAAAAAAATATTTTATGTTATAAAAAATAAAATTAGATTATAAAAGAAAAAATAAATTGTATAAAAACGTCTAAAAAAACAGTGTTCAAGATTCTTCTAGTTGCTGGTCATTTATTTTACAGCCAAACATATTTTTGAATGACAAAGTATAGCTGTAAGACACTATTTTATGATCTAAATGCTATCATCATTTTTTTATATAGAGAGTTCAATGATTTAATGTCCAAAACAACCTTCATATTTCTGATCTTCCTTGAATTCCAGATATGGAAATCAAGTAACTACAGTAGCAGCAGCAGTGCTTCTCAATTCACATAAACGCAATCACTTCCTCTGATTGTTTTTAACTACAAATATTATGTATAATTTATAAGTTTTATTTTTAGCATTTATGTGTATTAAAAAAACATATTTCAAACCTTTATTTTTATATAAGAAAACCAAGCTTATAGATTGAACATAAATCAATTCTATTGTGAATGAAATGTAAGGCTTAATTGTTGACGTACACATATATAGTTTTATCAATTCTAAATATCAAATTTAATATCTGAAGTACTTAAAATTTACCGATATTAATAATTATAATTTACAGTCTTAACTTCTGCTTTAATGATTCTCATATTAAAAGTCTTGTTTCTGATAAACAAGTTTAAAAAAGATGCGCTAAATTGCTGTGATATTGGAGCAGCTTTTTAGACAATATTGACTTTAGAAATAAACAATCTTGTCTTTTGAAAATCTTGAGGCAATTAGGGCTATTTTCTTCCGTTTGAGAGCCTCTTGGTTTACAGTTATGTCAGCAATATTGTGGGTACTGTAGGGAACTGTTTCAGCTGGGTGGCATCAGCAAGGTCATGTGAGTGCAACCTCTGATCAGGTACTCGCATTCAGTATACCAGCGAGACCTGAGCTGTGCATTCACAGTAAACATTGCATAAGAGACTGTCAACCGGAATCGTTAGGTCACTACAGTTTTTCATTGCAATTAAATAATACTGTGATATTTGTGTTAAAGTGTATTTTCTTTTAAATAATTTAAACAGTCTGGTTGAAACAGTTTTTTAGTTTTAATCTAAAAATCAAATATATAATAAATATACAAAATTGTATTAGTGTAACTACATTATGCAAACAGATTTATATTATAATTATGTGTTTGTGTATAATTGCGTATATATATTTTATAGGTGTAAATATAGGTGTAAAAATATATTAAAACAGAATAAATAGTAATTTCTAATTGATTTTTTATTTTTTGCACTTTATTGTGCATGCACTAAGATAATTTTAATATTAAGATTATTTAACAAATTTTAATGTAAAATTTTTAAATCAGAATATATTTTTAAAAAATACATGTAATGATAAAAAATAATATTTGATTGCAGAAGATGTAGAGAGTATGACAGGCGAGATAGAAAATGGAGATTTGGCAGTTCGAGACGTTGCAGACCTTCTCCAGGCACAATATGCTATTATTGCAGGTAAATATTTAATGCTATAAATTAGACTTAGATTTATTTAAAAAAAAAAAAAAAACATTTTTTAATATTTTTGTTCGCACATATTTTCCAGGAGGAAAAACGCGAGAGGGATGTCCTATAATCACGTTTTCAGACAACGGCAATTTTCACAACTTGACTGATTTGGACTATCAACGTCTCATGCTGTATCTTACTTCTGTGCCAACGTAAGAATATAACTATTATAGAATACAATTATTTGATTATCAATTATCAATGTATAATTCTGATTTTTTTTGTGCCATATCGAAAATTTAGACTGCAAGAAGCTGATCTTGGATTTCATTTAATAATTGATCGAAGGAATGACAAATGGAATTCAGTGAAAACCGTTCTTCTGAAAATTTCTGTAAGTGCATTTAACATGTAAAAGTATGCTGTTTCGCGGCAATATTTTTATTATAAATTCTACATTTTTCTTTATTTTTTTAAATTTTTTTTTCAGGCATTTTTTCCTGGTTTAGTGCACGTCGCGTACGTATTACGACCTGCTGGATTTTTACAAAAAGCCATTTCGGAGGTGTCGAATAAATTGTTTCGTGAGGATTTCAAGTTCAGAGTTATATTCTTAGCTAACATCGCTGAGCTTCACGAGTTCATAGAGAAAGATCAGCTCACGGAGCAGCTTGGTGGCGATTTGCCGTATTGCCATCACACTTGGATACAGAACAGAATTGTAAGTAATCAAACGAATTCGGTGATATTAACACGTATATAAATTTTCACGTCCGATATCGATAAATTTTTTAATTATTTTTTTTTTTTTACTAGAGCTTGGAGAAATTTTCGTCAATGACGCAGGACGTGTCTCTCGCGTTGGATTCGTTTACGCGGCGTCTGGCTGAAGTAGAATTTCCTAATAATACTATTGCTACAACAACGCTATTGTCGCAGCAACAGGCTGAGTATAACGAGTTGAAAGAAGAGATTCTCAGCGCTGCTAGACATGGGGAAGCGCTTTTGGACAGTGTACGGCAATTAACTGGAAAAGGAACGGCTGACCGATTGGGAAATGTTGCTGCAGTAGAAAGGTAACGAAAAAATTCAATAATAATTGCAAACTAAAACGTTAATGAATAAAATAAAATGTTAATACAATAAAATATTAAAGCGAGAAATTTATGAATTCTTTAATTATTGTTTAATACACGGTAAAATATTTTACACAGAAGCACAATTGTTATATATTATATGGTTTTTAATGTTTTTGAATTTAATTTTAGATTACTCGTTCAGTTGGAAGAAACCGAGCGAACCTTCGACTTATTTTGGTCGCATCATAGCTCACGTTTGAGACATTGTCTTGCTCTCAGGCAGTTCGAACAAGATTTTCGAGAATTACAAGCGACGTTGGATCAGCATTTGAAAACGGCGGAAGAAATGACGGAAGTCGGCGAGACGCAAACAAGAGTTGATCAATTACTGCATGACACATCGGCATTTCAACGAATATGCAGAGTATGTAGCTTTGTGGTATTCTTAATTAATAAATTCAACAAGATATAAAAAATTATACTATCAAATTAATGTCTTTGATTAGTTTTTGATAAAATATCCATCGAATGCAATCCATAATAAACGAAAGTTCTTGGAGATTTTGATTTTCAAATGATATATGAATCATAAAGATAAAAATTGCGTTATATTCTAAAATATTTACTTCCATCATTAAAACGTAAAAAATTATGGACCTATCATACAAAACTAATGCAATTACATGATGAATTGGTGGAAACAAATTTGACAAACATTATTAACTTCGGGTTTCAAGAATGTATATATATATATTGCACTCAGAGCACCAAAAATGCACTATTCAAACCAGTATATTTTTATTCATTGTAAAACTTTGTCAAATCTTTCTCTTTTTATGATACGAAATCTGTAAGAAAAGAAAGAAAATTTAAGATACAATAATTACATTTGAGAATCATGATCACATCATAAATACGAATATCGCATTTGTCATGTAAATCCTGGTTTGAACGTGATCACAAGCAGTAACATATATAACGCACATCATGCACAAATGTTACTTTGCACCGCTTTCCTCATTTTGTCGATAGTCCTATTTGTTGCATACCATGTGGATTTGGGTCTTGGTAAGCAGTCCACTTAACAAAATACATGTATTCTGTAATAGAAGTTTACATTTTGAGAAACACAGTGATTTTGACATATCTTAGCATCTACATATATTTCAGTCTTACACTTATCATATCTTGGAGTCAAATAGAAAACGTTACGTTCCGACAAGTTTTTCGTAGGCGCTATGAATTGAATCTCTATTATGCGTTATCTATCATCTGAGCTAATAATTTCCTTTTTTTTCGTTCTTTTTTTTTCCAATCAAAATGCACGCATAAATGTCATCGAAAAAAATCGGCAGTGATTCATGTCCGATAATGGCATGGTGAATTTTTGAGAATGACCATCGTTATGATTTTTCTCGCTCTCTGCATTTGCACGTATGATAGCATTTTTTCACGCGAGATTTCCTTTCTAGACGACTTAATCAGATTGAGAAAAATGCCATGATTGTTTGTAGCATCTTTATTTATATACTGACATCTAATCGCGTTATCGTGCATAAGTATAATTACATATGTTTATAGGGAGACATAGATCGCGCAGAGGAGGTGATATCCGCCGGTCAACAACTGTTGTCAGGCAGGCATCAGTGCCCGGCGGATGTCGTGGAGCCCAAGTGCGTGGAGCTGCAGAGAGTCTGCACCATTCTCAGTCAGCGACTGGAGAGACGACTGCACATGCTGACCAAGTGCAGAGAGCTCATGGAGCGTATAGATAAGGTATGTCCCGATGTGTTTTCTCCTACTGGAAAAGTTGTCATTTCCCTTTCAACGACCGGCAGGCCAACACTTGGTGCACGCGAGGAATAGAATTGCTCGCGTCGCAGAACAGCACCACGCCAGCGGATCAAGCGCTCCAGGAATTGCAGCAGTTGATCGAAGCTGCGGAGGAATTCCACCAACCCCGATGTATCTTCCAGGACTCCGTAATGCCGGAGACTAAAGCGCTCATCACGCAAGTGTGTATTTTTTCCCCCACAGCGCTTTTCGATTTCCTTAGAATGCGTATCTCTAAAATATGATATTTGTAGGTTCTGCAAAGGATAGAAGATGTATCTGTAATGTGCGACAAGAGAATAATGGCACTAAAGCAGCAGTTGATCAAACCAGCCAGGCCAGTACAAACTGTCACTCCAGAACCAGTCAAACCTTTGCAATCACTGCCTCAAATTGTAAAGCCTGGCCGAGTTCTCAAGAAAGCCAACACCATGCCAAAGGTGAAATTTTGCTTCTGCATTCACGCGAGTCTGAATAGTTTTGTAATGTATGATTCGTGTTATTTAAAGATGGAGATGAGCCCTATAGAGGGAGAGTCATCGTCTCCGGAAAGCGAACCTCGGGACGTTGAAGCCCTGCGCTTAAAGCGCGGCCACGTGTTGGCGGAACTCGTGGAAACCGAGCGAATCTACGTCGCCGAGCTCGGCTCGATTATCAAGGGCTACAAGATGGAAATGACGAACGAGGCGATGGCTCATCTGATACCCGCCGCACTGGTCGGCAAAGCGGACGTGTTGTTCGGCAATTTAGAGGATATTTATATTTTTCACGGGGAGACGTTTCTAAGAGATTTGGAGAATTGCATTTCGAATACTGAGCTTGTCGCTTTGTGCTTTGTTCAAAGGGTGAGCGCACAATTAAATGTTTTGAAATGTATGCCGTGTCTTGTGCTGGAAACTAATCTTACGCACACTTTTAGCGCGAGGTATTCTTTAGATTGTACAGTTACTATTGTCAAAATATTCCGCGATCTGAGAGATTGCGCGAACAGATACAAGGCGAACCGCAGTTTCTCGCAGCCTGCCAGCAGAAACTCGGCCACAAACTGCCGCTCGCTGCCTACCTTCTCAAGCCCGTTCAGCGAATTACCAAGTACCAGTTGTTGTTAAAGGATTTGTTAAAGTATAGCGACGAGCCTTCGTGCTGCACAGAGTTGCAAGAGGCGCTGGATTGCATGCTAGTCGTGTTGAAGTGTGTTAATGATAGCATGCATCAAACTGCAATAACAGGTTTTGGAGTAAGTTAGGATTTTTCTTCAGTGAATTATGTTATACCTTATTTTTTACTATATCTTATATTTTTTTTTTCTTACAGGGAGATCTGAGTGCACAGGGTGAATTGTTGTTACAAGGTTCATTTAGCGTTTGGAGCAGCAGTAAGCGAGAGCGACTGCTGCGACTAAAACCGTCTCAGCGACATATTTTCTTGTACGAGAAGGCTCTGATATTTTGTAAGCACAGCAAGCCTCAAGCCCACAACAAAGCCATGTACCATTTTAAGAGATATTTGAAGGTACTTTCCAATCTGTATCTCCAGTTTAACTTTTATTCTGTTTAAATATATATATATATATATATATAATCCTATGTATTTAATACAGATGTCACAGATTGGTTTGACGGAGTCGGTAAAAGGCGATGCTAGACGATTCGAGATATGGTTGCAAGGTAGAGCGGAGGTTCACACGATACAAGCGACCAGTATCGATGTCAAACAGTCCTGGGTGCGTCAGATCAAGGGTGTTTTAATGTCGCAATTAGCCGAACTCAAAGGGAAACAGAATTCGGCTCTTGGAAAATCCAATCACAAGTATGTAAAATTTAAAGACGCACACTTTCAAGTCTTGGAATATTTCATTATTCTACGTTGCCCCTAAGGCCGCTGCGACAAACAATTTCGTGGGAAGCACAAAGCAGTTTATCGGGATCTCTGCGAACACTGTCCGTCGACGGCAACAGCGTTATCTCGCACATGACTGACGTGTCACAATCCACGGAAGACGACGTTGCTTGGAGTTCGGAAAACAGTAATACGGATGACGAAGACGCCTTTGGTGACAACCCCGGACCGGCACCTGTAAGTTTTTTATCATAAATGTGAATTTAAGCGTCGAGAATGAACTTAACATCTAAACAAGAGCAAGTTTTGGAAAAACAGCACAGAAAAGTTTTACAATTTAATAAGTTTCAGCCTTTGTTGATTTCAAAACTCTTTATAGATAGAATTCATTCATTTAAATCGCATAAACCCAATATCTTTTTATTTCTATAATTTTTCAGCGTTTATTTGGCGGAACAATCAATTTTTGAATAATTTATGATTTGTGCAGTTTTGTTAATTTCGTTTACATGTAAACATATTTATTTTCGAACTTAGGGCGGTAGATATGTGGCGTTGGCCGATTATTGTGCAGTAGGCCAGTCGGAAGTCACTATGCGCGAGGGTGACACCTTGGAGCTTCTGAAAGTCGGCTGTGCCGGCTGGTGGTTCGTCAAACTGGTCGGCACCGGCGTGGAAGGTTGGGCGCCCGCAGCGTACCTGGAACCGATCAGTCGCAAGACGTCCCGTAGTTCGCAGTCGGTGAACAGTCAAGAGGCTATATGAAACAGGCGATTAACACACTAGAGAATTCAATCTGGTGTGTTAAATCTTCGCTCGTTTCTCGCGATCGCCAATTGTGGTCGAGAAACATTCAACCGTTGAAAACGGTCCTCGAGAATTTTCCACGTGGCGGTTGATCGGTTTTTGGAGATCTTTTACAGCATTCAAAACAATGATGAGTTGCATCATTTTATTGTATCTTGTACAATACGGCGTACGCTGACGCTTGTTAAGCGATGCCCCTTGCATTTGCGATATGAAGAGTGTTAAGTTGAACGGGTCAAGATATTTTTATGTTACGAGAATTTTACACTGATGCATGCGAGGAGGAGGATGGTACTGAAGCGAGAAGCGTTCATGTTCCACACGATTGCAAACAGTCGGAATGAGGAGTTTCGCTCGCGCCAACGTCAGAGATGAGTGAACTCGTTCGCGAGCACCGAACGACGTTTACACTGAATTGTACAAAAAAACGTATAACGTTGAATTAAGTCGAGATATACATACGTGCACGCACAATGGATTAAGACGGTCTCGTATCGCGATCACTATTAATACACATTTCTATAACAATAACTGTAATGAACAAGAGATGAAGGTCCACCTATATGTTGAACGCATTTCTCGTTCGGTTACTTACACTTCGTTGGGAAGAATCTGCATGAAAAAGTGTATAAGCGTAAGCTGTAAATGGTAGTTTTTACTTGCGACCCGGGTAATCAAATATCGGCTGTACGCAATTATTCCAAAGTTTAATATTGTTGTAAGAGACGCGCGAAACACTTTCGTCCATTGCATTCTACTGACGACACCTTTTTTCTGCCAGCTGGATAAACCTCGACGATGCGAAACAATCTTATCTTGGCGTGGTGTATTCCGCGGTGTCGTGAGTAAATACGACGTCGATCGCGGCGCGCCGTCGGATCGACGTCGTCACCGATCGCGTCGAATTGTGTATCATTATTCGTTGGTTTAGAGTTCTTAAGTAGAGTCCTAGATGCGTCGTCATCACAATCGAATAGTACAATTTAGCACAGTTACACGGGCTTTCGAGAGTATCTTAGATGTTTTGTTTGCGGCGGGGGAGGGGCGGGGTGGAGGTTGCTTCTGGGATCGAGTATAAAGTATTTGCAAAGACTATCGAAGATAAATCCTCGAGCCTTCGAATCGGAAAAAAAATATGTGATACAAACGTTAGATCGACGCTTCTGCAGATTAATCGCTGTAAACACATGCAGAAAAAGAACATGTTCGAATTGTAAATGTTTAAGTAATTATATCGCCATTCTTAGAATGTTAGATACATTGTTGACGAGTCGTTGCGACCAGATAAGCTTGAGATATTATTAAATTTAACAATATGTAAACCGTTTCGTGAGAGTGGTGGGAGATCAAAGAATCATATGCAACCATGTACACAAATTTTCTAGCAGGCTAAATACGGTTATAACACCAAGTAAGACGCAATATCCGATAACCGAGATAAATCTTAACACCTAATACTTTAAGATTATAATAAGCAATCTCAATTCTAGCGGATTTCATAACCCACCAATTTCATAAGTCTCTTATATAAACGATGTATAATAGTATCATTTGTACTGAAACATTTGTATGAATAACGGATAACATAATTTAAGGGATTATCTTGATCGCACTATGATTTCCTTCTCCGGTGTATATTAATTATGTCCGCTTCAATAATGTACACAAGGACATAATTTTCGTCGCAACTTTTGATATAGCCTACATGAGTCTGAGTTTTTGATATTTATAATTTTTGGTATTTATAATTCGCATATTTTGTATAGAGCACAGTTACATGATATTTGTTAGATAGATATATTTATTGAATAGAGAATTATTTATATCGCGATAAACAGTATTGCATTGTGTCAGTCTTGATGCAGGCTGATTTACAGCAGTCGGTGTATTGTAAATGAGATATACAAGATATTGAAGGCTATATAATTTATGCAATTTTGTAATATACAAATTTTTGAATATACTATGTAAACGCTGAAACACTAAAATTAAGTATACACACACGATAGGAATTCGTTTCTGTCGAAGAAAAAGAAGTCTTTGTGCTTGTAGAAGTTGCACTTTACAAGTCGTATGTTTCCTTTGTATCATACAGCTTTTACTTTCCACGTTTCTTTAGCCGCACGTAGAGCCGTAATGTGTATGTCTTCGTACATTCATCCATTTGTACGCCGTCCTTGTATTGTCCGTAAGATTTTAATCAAACGAGCATATTGTTGGTTCGAAAAAGATCCACGTTTTCTCAACGCGTCCCGATTACGTTGCAATATTACAAGCTCACAGGGATTTACAGCCGAAATGAATGCCGCGGTCGACTGCATTTACACAATAGCGATCCTATGTAAAAAAAAAAGATGTTATCTTAGAACAGTTTGAAATCCTGCTCAGTATACCTGTCGTTTACGAACACTTCCGCAAACTTGAACGCGCGATTACTTCACCGGAAGTCGTTCGCGCGAGCGATTTTTCATCTGCGTAAAATCGCGACTGAGCGACCAAGTCAAGGTGATACCTAAAACACATGCAAGACACATTTTGTAGAAACTATAAATATATACATACATATATATACATAGACAATAATTATATATGTTTGAAAGATACATGGCAAACGCGTTCGTTCGAATAACGATTTCATGATATATACAATATAACTCCCAACGACCGGATTAAGCGATACTTCCCTCCGCGACTACAAACGCAGCAAATAGAAGCAGATTTCTGCGAATGATTCTCTTACCGTGGGCGGAATTATGATGCTACCAGAGATCGCACGAGCGCACACGCGTGCGTGTGCAATCTTTTGGAAAAGGAAATAGAACAAAAACAAAGACTCACTTCCTTACAGACGGTTCTTTTCGTCGTTCCTCGTCGGCAAGAGAGTGATAGTAAAGTCTATTTTTGCATATAACATATAATAACGAGGCTGCCGAAATCTCTTCTATTTGCATCACGCATATGTTAGCACGCGACCATTTCTCATCGACCGTAATTAAAAACCGTTAAATGCGTTTTCCTTTTGTTTCTGATTATAGATTTATTTCTTGAAAACAATTCCGGACTTTTTTTTTATTGTTACATGTCTGTAATTGTAAGTTGTATATTGTAAATTATTTAAGTACTTGCGAGAGAGGAAATTACTCGGATCTCAAAAACAAAATGAAAGGAATATTTTTATATAGGATGCAAAAAGATTGCTCAAGTTTAAGTTTTAATCATGTTAAACGATTTTATGAGTTTTGAACGTCTGTTTATTGTGTTATGTTAGATTACATTCGATGTGTCAGTGTGCGTTCAATGGTAGGCACAGACGTGGTGCGAGTACATCACGAACAAACGATCACTTTTAATTGTTACGCGTCTTCTTCATCCGCTCACCGACCTTTGAAAAGAGAATGGAATACTGCGATTTGCAATGCATTGACTGTACAGTCAAGCATGGAATTTTGTTAACTCGTCCGGACCTTGCGTACAATCAGTTGTCAAACTTGTATGAAACTGCAATATTAAACGGGAACATTAAACATGAAAATTCAGATGCAGCAACAAGTTCGTTCTCGTTCTTGCAACCAATTAACAAATCTGCTTTTTGTAGTCGAATAGTGAACGTTTTGGAATAAGAAGCGCAGTTAGCGATGATATTGCAATTATGATTTATAATAACTAATGTGAATTTAAATACAAAATGTTCAGAAATCTTTACATTAATTTTACAAATTTTTATTGAAAATTATTTGTTAATATTTTGGAATCAACTTTTCTTTGCAAAAATTATTTTAAGAGGTGTTGCAATATTTTCCGCAAAGTTAAATTCATAAGAAAAGAATGTGTTTGAAGCGTCGCGAATTGTGCATCTTGTCATATTGTTTTAAAAGGAATCCGTGTAATGCTAATTTTGTTATTGTTGGTTAATTGTTTTATTTGAATTGAATATTTGAATTAAAATTTGCATGTATTGAAACAATTTTTTAAGTCAATCAGTAAATTGATTTTAATTTTATATATAATATAATCATAAAATACTTGTTATGATATTTGATTTTTAGTCATATGAATGTGATGTTACAGCGTTATAGAAAGTATATAGAGCAATATTAAAATATATATATAATTTATACATGTGCGCGAAATTTCCCGCGGTATTTCAAACCAAGCGGGTGACACGCTTAAGTTACTTCTCAAGGCCGTCAATAGATGAGGTAAGCCGCGATTCGGTCAAAGGCCAAATGTGCCGATCGCAAATTTATTCACGTACATCAGTGCGCTTCGAGAGGATGTTCCAGAGGTCTGTCGCATACGGTTATTTTTCGTGGTGACATAGTCCTACGTGACCTGACGTGACCTTGGTACTAACTGGTGAACGAGGACACTGTTAATTTTCACAGTAACTCATAAATTTTCATTCTCTTCGGTAACAAAACATCATAAATATGTCGCCGCAAGCACAAGCAGTGCCGAAGGAGAACCTGGAAACACCGTCAAGTGGAGTTAATGCCGTTTTATTAGGACCACCCGGTAGTGGCAAGGGCACTCAGGTATATATTTTATACTGCTATTTTTAAAAATGTACTATTTTCTTCGAGCTTTCAGGTGACTTGATTGATTAAGTAAAAATAATAATTGTGCACAATGAAATGAAATTGTTATGATAAAATGATTATGTTATTTGGTACAACTAACAAAATTGAATGGCATTTTTTTCAGGCTCCATTATTCAAAGATAGATATTGTGTGTGTCATTTGTCTACGGGCGATATGCTAAGAGCTGAGGTCAGCTCTGGTTCTGCCCTAGGAACTGAGATCAAGAAAATAATGGATGAGGGTAAATTAGTCAGCGATGACTTGGTAGTTAGTATGATTGAAAGCAATTTGGACAAACCGGAGTGTAAACGCGGCTTCTTGTTAGATGGTTTTCCTAGGAGTGTTCCTCAAGCAGAGAAAGTAAGTTAGAAAACAATTACAAGTTTCTATGATGTAACAAAGGCCTTGAATCTTTGTAGCTTATGAATCTTTTCTGCCCAGCTTGATGAAATGCTTTGCAAGAGGAAGACGAAGCTTGATGCTGTCATTGAGTTTGGAATTGAAGACAAGTTGTTAATCAGAAGAATTACGGGCAGATTAATACATCCTAGCAGTGGTAGATCTTATCACGAGGAGTTTGCTCCTCCCAAGGTTCCAATGAAGGATGATGTAAGTATTAAAAACATCTTAGAGTAAGGAAAAAACTTTTGTTATGACGTAAAAAGTTTAGAAAAAAAATTTTATACGATTGCTCAGAATAAGTTGATTGTACGCACTAAGAAATAAAAAAATAAATTTGGAGACTGACACAATTGTATGATTGTGATAATGTTTTAACCAGAAACGAAGCATAGTGACAATTCTATTGTATAACAACAGTGACAATTCTATTGTATGCAAAAATATACACGGTTATATAACAGAATAAATTATTCTGTTCAATTCCAATTTGAGATAAAAAAAAGTCTAAATCTTTGTTGACAGATTACTGGAGAACCTTTAATCAAGAGATCTGATGATAATGAAGAAGCTCTGAAGAAACGATTAGCAACATATCATACACAGACTGCACCGTTAGTTGATTATTACGCTTTACAAGGAATTCATTATTATGTTAATGCAGCCCAGTCTGCTGACAAAGTTTTCAAGAACATTGATCAAATTTTTCTGACTGCTACTAAAAAGAAGAGCTTTTTTAGCATTTTTTCAGGATTTTTCTAAAAAATTTAGAAATACTTTCTCAAACATTCTTTTTTTTATAATTTTTTTTAAAAGAAAAAATTGTAGAAGTTCATTAATTTTGTAATAACAGTTCAATTATGTAACGCTTACATTGATTGAGAGCAATCTGTATTTTGAAATTCAATAATATGAACGTCACATTTACAAAGATCGTTTTAAGCGATATACATTGTAGGTATATAATATTTTTTAGAAAGATCCGAAGAGCCACTAAGGATCTAATGCACACAATTGATGAATATGTTGAGGAGATAAGACTACACAATGTACATGTAACGCTGATTATATATTAGCGTTAGTAAAAGAAACTAACACATATTGTACATAACCACGCGAAAAGTATTCAACTTTGTTATTACTGTTATATTTTTTTATACAGTATTGTTTATATCTAACTGGACATTATCAAGAGACTTTGCTTGATAAGAGACGTATCTTGATTCAATTTTATTTTCTTTTTTGGCAAATTTAATGAATCTAAAATACATGTAAAATTGCAGTGTTTTTTTTATCATTCACATATGCGCACATTTTCAGCATTATATCGCTCTTAGACCATGATTTGTGCTCATGCTTTGCATTTAATTCCAAATGTTTATTCTGATTTATGTTTTTCATGAAGATTGGATGCAAAATTAAAAATATTTGTATTTTTTATTTTATATTTGACAATGTGTTATAATTATTACGAGATAAATCTCAAATTAATTATAATTCTTGTACTGAGAATAGTAGTATCTGCCACACACATTTAACATTAAATGTGGAGTTTAAATGTAGAATTACAAGATTATATAATGATTGTATTTCTCACATTTCTCTATTTATCTGAAATCGTCGAGAATGCAGTTTAACAGTATAAGTACATAAAATTAGTGACATGCTTAACATGCCAATAATAACATTATATAATATTCAAAGACAGTTTACGAAAATACGAATAGAGCAATCATAAATCAGAGTCTATTTTACATAAAAGAAAAAAATATACATATATTCTAGTATTCAATATATATAAACAATATATGACACATAAAACCTAAAATTTCAATATTTTTAGAGAGAAAAACACGAACTTAAATAAAAGCATAAATCACATGTAAAATTGTTTGTCACTTTAATTAATACTTCCGATAAAAATCCGTATTTATTATGCAACGAATAAAATACAGAAAATGGATAAAATGATTGATATTCTACGTTTTTAACGGTTTAGCGTAAAGATAAGACGATTTAAATTTCGCGCGCCAATGTCAAAGATATCGATATATTGAAATCGAATGGAAACTCGCGCCACTTCCGGCAGTTCTTTTATTACGTCGTGTTGAAAAGTAGGAACACTTGCGATTAATTGCGTGTCCATATCAAAAGTATGCGAGTGTATAATAAATATGGATTTCTGTTAAAATTACTGATTGAAGTGACTAAAAATTACCAAGAATATTATTTAACGCGTATGTTCATAATCTACGGCGCGTCGATCGCTACACCGTGAATTGAAACAGGTTACAAATCTCGATGAATACAGATATTGATATCGTAGGTACGTGGAAATTATGCTTATGTTTGCGCAAGAGAATTGAAGCTTAGTGTATTTTTTATTAAATATGTCGAAGTCGTCGAAATTAAATCGAGTGAAGCAAAATTATCGTTTTATGCATGTTCAATCCGCGGTCAGTTCGATGAAGTTAGTTACACGAAACGTTTGCGGGCGCGCATTGTACCGAAGATACTGTCGATATATCGAAATTTGATTGCAGCGATACTATGCGCGCCATATTCCGATCGTCTTCTTTTTATGACGATCGATGCGGAAAACAGTGCGCGAATACTTTGCGATTAATTACGTATATTATTTGTATTAAAAGTGCGAAATAAGTGCGAATTTTTATCGCAAGTGTCGATTGAAGTGACGGACGATTGTTGAAACATATTATTTACCATAAATATTCGATATTAGCAACATTTCGATTGTCTGAAAATCAAGCGGCAACAGGTTATGATTTCGGTGAGTATAGATTGTATTCGCTCAGATCAAACGCGATATACTTCTTATTAGTTGTAATTCAGGTCTTTGAAGTAAAAATTAAGTAAAACATAATTGTTGTTGCACACGCAGAGCAGTATATATAGGCTGCGTTCGCTTTGGACGCTCACGCGCTGAAAGCATCAGTCTATCTTTCTTGCTCATTATATGTCAAAGAAAGATAGACTGATGCTTTCAGCGCGTGAGCGTCTAAAGCGAACGCAGCCATAGTATAATACATCAAATTGTAATCGTCGTTTGTTTTAACTTTTTTTGAATAATATTGATTTATATATAATATTTTATGCACATAAATTTATGATTTTTCCATAAATGTAATATGCAGCTTGATTTTTGCTTGTTTGTTTGATAGTGCACATAATTAAATGAAGTTTTTGATTTTTATTGCTTCTAGGAAAACGTGAAGAAATCAAAAACAGAATCCACAATGAACACAACAAACTACAATATTGCAGTACTAGCCGGTGAGTATAATTATTTGTTTATTATTTAAATTTATCTTGTACAATTGTGTTTAAATTTAAATGGAAATAAATATAATACATAATCAGCAAATATATGAAATGTATAGTAATTTATGTATGATGTTAACATAATAATAATGATTAGTAATTAAATATATATTAATTTCTTCAGGTACAATTGAAGACGCACTTTATTGTTGGGATACAACAATCGGTGAGTGTATTGATTCATTGTATTTACATAAATTACACAAAACATTGATATCATTTATTGGTTTTTATTTGCCAATATTACTCTTTATATGCCGTTATTTTTATAAGTTATATATATTTGAAAAACACCAACATGCACCAAACAGCTGTGTCATTTACCAGCAGTGGTTGTCAGCATGTAATTCAAAGTCTGAAAGTGATGTAGAGAGCGATACAGGAAAAAGTCATTAAACAATGTCATAAGAAACGTTATGATTGCCACTCTTAGGTTTCTCTCTGACGTAATGCACCATGTGGATTGAGTCCTAAAAAAGACGATGCATTAAATTCTTAACTAAATTTACTTTTATCATCGGAAATTTCGCGACAAATTTTTTTTTATTACTGGAAAGACAGAAGAAGTATCCATAAAAATTAATATAATATAATATATATAAATTGAATATTTTTTTATGTTTATAAAGTGCACCTCTATTTTTTTAATAACATGTTTTTTTACAATATCGAATTATTTGTTCAATTGTTAGTATGACTTTATAAATTTACAGATGCATAGGGTCAATTTACAGATCAAAATTGTTAATCCAATCAGTATTTGATACTATTCTGGTTGATACACAGTAAATGTGTGAAGTCTCGTTCATTATTCATAGCAATAATTCACTAAATATAAAAAGTATATGCTGTGTACTTGATACAACTTAACAGCAATGTCACTCTTTATTGATAAAAAATTTATACAATTGATACTATAGATAAAATGTTTTTCATGTAATAATTATGGTATGTGTACATTACATTCACAAAATTTTTTCAATACGATAAAAAGAAGAATAGAAAAGCGTCCAAAACATTTTTCGTGAATTAAGAATTATTATTTGCTTTATATAAGCTTTGATGCTTTGTGATACAATTTATTTTATTATATAACATATTTGCATTTTGCGTAATATTATCTTATGGAGAATAGTATAAGTTGATATATTTGAAAAAAAATCCTTTAATATTATAAATAGGGAAATTAGAAAAGTACCTATAAATTTTGGCATGGAAAATTTGGTCTTAAACCCAATAGAGAACGCCATACTGATGGTTCTTTTAAAATGAGGAAATAAGAAAGCATCCGCTTTTATGGTGGACTGTACAATCGCACCGTACGTACGGCATGCCAACTGAATGGAAATTTCCACAGTCGGTTGCCGCCGTCTTGTAGATAGCTATTGGTAGAAGAGATGCTTCTCGTAGCCGCCGCGCCTAAAAACCAGATTGCGGTCGAGCTAAGTGTCGCGTGATATCCTGGGTCGCATAAAGTCGCAAAAAAGAGAAATTCGTCAATTTTTGTGAAACAAATTTCAAGATATATGTACAAAATAGAGTGTAAAATGTAAAAAAAGAAAGACATGAATGAAGACACGATTAAGTATCACGCTATATCGCACATGTAAAATTTGTCTAGTTTAAAACAAAAGTATGTGATTTAGTTGTGCATAATTAATTAATTACGATTTAGTAAGTTATATTGCAGTAACATCCAACAGTTGTTGTAATATTTGTTACAGTAATATTGAGAAAATAATTTTTCAAAATTTAACAGCTTCGTTGTAATTGTATTGTTGCAATTTTTTAATGTTTAATTCCTAATGTCGATCTGGAAGATCAGCACACTATTTTTATTTTTAGAAATAAAAAAATTAAGAATTACAACATATACATATAATTTACATACAATAGATAAAGTTTATGTACTGAATGAAACTCATGTAAACGTGTATACGATCGTTTCGATTATTACTGTGGTCATAAATTTTGGTGAGAATAAAAGTAATTACTTGCTACACATTGAAAAAAGATAAGGAAAATTTTCATGCAAGAAGACAAGGCAGACTGCAAACAGATTGCCAATTATAATGCAATATAAATGGAAATTGAAAGAGTGCGATAAAATGACTAGCGAGTATTTCACACACTCCAGTGACCGCAATTTTCCTTATTACGCAAGTGATTTATGATAAATGAGTGACGCGACGATTTCCGCGCGTGTCTGCAAAAATCTGTAGAGCGTGAACGTGAATGTCTGTCGGATAATTTAAATATTGCGATAAATTTAGCGACGAGAAGGAGGAAGTTCGAAATATAGGAACTGCCATTATTTTGCGGTAAAGATATCTCGCGTGAAACATTGAAGAAAAATGTTGCTAAAATAGCGTTACTCGTAATAAGATAACTTGTACAATGAACATAAAAAAATCTTATCTCTCTTAAAATTCTTATCTCTTCATGACAAAACACAGGCTTATTCGTAAAATTATCATTTCAAGTACAATAACAGAGATATTTTCTTTCTCTTCGTCACGCACGCGCGCATTGTTCAATTTTTCTCTTTCTTTCGTACATATTGCAATCGTATCGATTTCGACGTTATCAAATGTTACATATTATGACGTATGCAAACACGAGTCGTGCATTATCAGTGAGATGCTCGAGCAGAGAAGTACAGAGACAAACGAGACGTGAAGTCGAACGCTAAACGTTACGGGATGCTAAGGACAAGGATTACCAGTGTGGTTCACGATGATGGAAAGTTACAATGGCACCAACTTCTCGCAATCGTTTTTCAGCTTACTCACCTTACTTACCAACAGAATCTGTGGGAGGGCGAGATAAAGCTCATTTTACATTCTTGCCCAGATCCGATAGCGCCGTCGCTAATCTCGCCGTTTTCCGCCGCGTCGTCACGCTGTGCATTACCTCTTGTCGGCGGTAATGCAAAACCGTACGCGTTGAAAGATCGTACACCGTTTAGAGACCGACAAAAAAAAAAGAAATGAGAATATTTACGACAAAAGTAGATACTTTTTGAAGTGTCATTCTTTGTTTCCTTTCCTTTGCTTTTTTTTCGTTTGTTCTTTCCTTACAATTTGTGTAACTTACACCATACATATGTACAATCCGTGTTTCTAGGAATTACGTAAATGTGTAAACACATATTTATACCATTTTGACCTATGAATAAGGCTGACCTATGAATATGGCTGACCTGCGAGCAAAGATGTTCGACCAGAATAACGTGCGTCTATATGTGCGTCTCTTTATTGTAAATCATACAAAGAGAAAATACAAAGAACAGCGAAAACGCGAAATTGAAAAGAATAAGGAAAAATGGAGAAGTGTTATGTGTATCGTGTGTCTGTTAACAGAATAACCGGCTTACGGATACTTTCGGATTAATGACGGTTAAAATTGATGTGCGTTCTAGGTTTTTTTTATGAAACGTTGGTTATTTATCCTTCAATATTATTAATAAATTTATCTTTAATTAAAATCTCCAGAAGTTAATGTTAATAAGGATTAATTTATATTTCGATGTAAATAAGATTGATAAAAAAGAATATCTTGAAGATTTAAGGATTGCGAGAAAATCGACTTTTTTTTCTTGAACGGTTTTTTTCTAAGACAGATTTTGGTCGAAATCTCTTGCGATTTATTTACAATAACGCAACGCATTCATATTTAGCGGGATTAGTTTTTGAAATGAATAGCTTTTGAAATGGATTGTACTGGAAGGTTCGAAGGGGTCCCGTCTGGCCTTCTCGGTATAAGAAGACTTATAGGACCTTGTCGGCTGCTGGCTGGTGTTAGACGTATTCTCGTCAAATTTATGTACACACCTGCACGTGTGTGTACTTAAGCATTACAATAAATATTCGCGCGTATACTTTATATTTCTTTGCATTACTCTATTATAGCACATTAATATGATCGTATATTTCTTTAAGAAACTACAAGTTTTGACAACATACAGACCTTTTTTTTAAATAGATTTTACCGTAGATGAGATGACGAAAATCCTAACGCACGCATAACAACAATTACAATTATTACAGTTACAATTATTTGTGTAAATATTTGCGTATGCCTAAACTTGATATTTAGGGACTACACGGAAAAATATAAAGATTCATATTACAGTTTGAGGGGCAACGTAAATACGCGCGAGCTAGAGTCATCTGGATTTTTCGCTACATGTGAGAACAAGTTTGAACAGAAATGTGCGTGTTATCTTCTGCTGAATGCTATTAAAAAATACATGTATATCATAATTTTTTTTCATACTTTGTCGAATAAAATTATGCGCATAGTTTTCAAGTAATTTTATTGATTAATGTATATAATTTAAATATATATTTTATGTTTAAGAGAAGTTTTTCAATTCTCTTTTTTAGACATCGACGTTTTATTAAAAATAAATATCGAGAGATAAAATTAATGAATTTATTTAAATTTTATCGACGAAGTTAATTAATAATACAAATTTAAAACATAACTGTTTAAACTTTAGCAAACATTTGGAGACCAGAATTTGCATATTCCGCTTCGCAAATAAAAATGCATGAAACGACGCAATGCTTTTTCAAGAATTCAAGGTTCAAAAGAGGAAAACAAATCGAAGCAAAGTTATTTTCATTGGTAGATGCCATATAACCGACGTTCTTCAAGGCGAACGCATGTATGGTAATGCATTTGTCGTTTTTTTGAACGAGCATTCATACTCGATGCGATTGAGAAAAAGATGAAAGAGAACAACCAACTATACTATCGGCAATATGCATAACTTATGCATAGTCCTGCGACGTTTGTTACTCTATATCTGCCGACAAGGACTACGATTTATGACGCAATTCGTAACGAAACACTGACATGTGTCAGTGTCGGACATGTGAAATTTCTCAAAGAGTCTGATTACGACAGTCTTTGTAATTCTTTATTTTCCATGAACATTTTCCATCGGACAGATGGTTGCTCTGTTTTTTATCTGACAATCACTTTGCTCGAACAATTAATGGTATTTTTATTTATTGCTATGTTCTTGTACGTATTTGTTAATCTGAAAACCTGAGAACTTTTGCGTGCATCTTAATTGAAACGGTTGCGCGGAGTCACTCGACGTTTTCTATAATTATTTTTGATTACTTTTCGAACATTTTCACTGCAATATTTTTGCAATATATTTTACTATAAAGTTATGAACTATAAATTTACTATAAAATTTTATTAAAAAAAATTTTACACGTTCTTTGTTTTAGAACACTGTCGAAACCAAAAGACAAAACTCGAGATTTCAGTCCTTTTAAATGATTATTATTACAGTGTGTTGAAATTAAGTCCACGTGCAGTTGTTTTCGCACTCATCATCGCTTAATCTAAATCTCACTTCCGCTATCGGCATTGTTACGAATACATACGCATATCTTAGACCACCCGTACAATTCGTGACGAAACTTCGTGAAATTTTGCCCTCACCGACGTTTGAAAAAGTAGTTTCGGCCTGTCACAATGCCAGCCAGATTCGGTCAGATCGAGTAACATGTTACAACCGTTCTCAAATTTTACGTTATAACTATATATTTGCTGCGACTTTGTTTTTGTCGAAAAAGTTTTACTTATTACTTCCTGTTCTCAAACCATTTTTCGCTTTGAAGAGTTACATTACTATAAAACCTGAAACACTAAATACATGTAACGCGCACGTAAAATACTATTTTTCTCGAACAAAATTCATCTGGAAAAAAAAACAAACGTATTGCAACATTTTCTGTAACCTTTTTGAATATATTTTGCAATGTACACCTGTTTTGTGTGAATATCGCTGTTGGAAGTAGCGTCTCCGTCGCTGTTGGCGACCGAGCAGATCGATTGCAATAACAATCGCATGTTATTTCAGATTGTTTCAGATTGTGCCAATAGATTGTGTATTATTGATCGAACTATTTTTGCTCTTTAATCGCGAATGTGAAATTTAAGTAGAATCAGACCTTGACAGACGGATATATTGAGGATAGGAACACAAGTTTATATTTTTAATTGTGTTTACGATTCCCGCATGATTTTGCGCACACAAAGCATTGTATGCTATAATGTTTGCATCCTGCAATCTAGTTTGCAACAATTATTTTCAAAGTCCGTAGTGCTGATAAAGACAGTTTCGCGAAAAATACTGATTGCTGCAAAACAGATCGGACGATAAATGTTAGTTTTTTTCGTCCGCGTCACCACGCGAACGCGCCGATGCAGAATAATGCAACGGCCGCGACAAATACAAATATTTTGCGACACAAATTCCCGTGTGCAATGTAGATAATTTATTTTTAAAAGTAGCACGTATATCGGTCAAGGATGCCGTGGATTAAAATAATAAATCCAGAGATATCAGGAATACGGAGATTTGGCCGTAAGAGCGTGTTAGATTGTAATTTGCCACCGAAGAAGGGATACTTTGACACAAGCTGATGAGAAATGTATCATATTAGCGAAGTGATAAGCAGAATATATATTAAGTTTCATGTCTCAAATCGATGATATGGGGATCATTGTACCGTCGATATTCAATATCATGTTATTGATATTGAAAAACAAAGAGATAGATCTTATTGGTCTATTGTGATCCCTCACTTTTGTCATATTAAATTATAACATCAAAAGTTTTATGAATTTTTTATGCATTATAATTTTTTTTACATTATGGTTCATATTTTGTTAAAATAGACGTATGAGGCAAGAGCTCGTCGTTTTTGTAAATTAATAGAAAGTTGTAAATCTTGATTGAATGCCACTTAATGTAGAAAGCGTAGGATACATGTAAATTTTATTCGTTATTCATTAATTAAAAATGAATTAGTGAAAAATCTTTAGCATATATTTTATCTGGTTATCCTGGTTAAATGCGAATGGTATGCAAAGAAGCTAATTTATTTTGACGCGTATGTGTGTACAAGCTCGAGAAAACATTTTTACGAAAATTTTGCTTTTGATGTAATAATCTAATATGACTGCGGTGACTGCTTGAGGAGCATCAATGCGATGCAAAAATGCACGAAGAGTCGAAAGGCGCGTCTCGTGTTACCTGTGATATTAGATGCATAGCAAAATCGTAAACGCGCGATATCGGATTACCGCCACAAAAATTGCTTAGGTCTCTAGTTTGTTTTTTTTTTTCGCCGCAGAAAACTCGTTTTTGCTTTCTGCCGCAGAACGCCACTGGCAAATGCGGTCGATCGTTTATTGGCTCGAATTTTAAGAGATAATGGATTGCGTAACGCATCATTCGTAATTATAAGGCGACGCGTACTGCGCGTCTATTATCTCTCACTGCGAAACAAGCCGGGTTTCCGTTTCTCGGCCGTTTTTTGCCCCATTAAAAATTATTAAAACATCTGGGGAGGGTGCGGCGAAATTCGATGAGACTTGAACGCAAGGAGGAGCGTTCTCCAGAGTTCTAATCGGGCAGGGGGGAAGGTTGCTAAGCGTCCTCGCCTAGGGGAGGGGATGACGTCGAAAAGGGACGAAGAGGGTACACTTCTTCCTCGAGAGAGAGAGTGGGGAGAGGAGAAACCGCGAGGCGGCTTTCCGTGTCGCGTTCGCGCACCGTGCGTCATTCTCGTGCGGGTCTTCGGCGTCGCTGATCTGACATTTCGAACTTCTCCGAGGCCTCAATTTAAACGATTGCTTTTTTTGCACCGGGAATCGTCCTTTTTCAGTCTATTGATATCAATCATCAGCCGGCCTCGCAACCCTAATAACAAGTGACGGAACCCCGGGCATTTTTCTCGATCCCTCTTGTTTTTTTTTTCTTTTCTTTTAGCGATCCCTCGACGATTCTTATACCCGCTCCGATTCTTCCCCCCTTCTTTATACCTGCCGTTCAACTGCCCCCATCCTACGTCCCGGTTGCCCCCACCGCGGGGCGACTTCCACGCAGCGAATATCTATCTCGCGGCACACACGGAGGGAAGTTGACGCGAAAAAAGGACGAAAAGATCAGTGTGACACCGCGTTCGCCCGAGAGACGAACCCTTACATGATTTTATCCAGTTCGCGCGCACGGAGAGCCGCCTGACACGACACTGAAAACCCTGTATGCGTATACGCAAGTACACGAACGCGAATTGTCACAATTGTCACTTTTCCACTCGTGTGAACACGTACACGTGCGCGCATACTCGTACGGGAGCGCATTAAGCACCTGATACTTTATTGATAGCGACGATCACGCTAGTCGACGGTGAATATTTAGCCGGATCGGATCACGTTTCTCGCCTGCTCACCGACGCCGGACGCCACGCGCGGAACAGAAGGAATTATATATACACATAAATATATAACGATAAATACATATATATTTATATACGTCTGTTTGCACACTTCGTATTAGTTGGTCTTTTGGCAACCAGCCAGATCGAACAAGCCCTACGAGCCGAGTTCGTCAAGAATGTCGCACAGTACGAAAGGCCTCGGGGTACCGGTGCACGGGGGCAGGATTCAGGTGAGTGTACTTTCATTACTATGCAATATGTAACTGGTACGCGATTACACGCCGAGACTCTACAATTTATAATTTACGTTATGAAGAATTTGACTTGAGATACACGACGGAATACAATACAAATTCATGACGCACTATTGTGTAATATTATATTAAGCGGGAATCTCGCGAATTAATCTTGAAATGTCAAGATAAAATTATTCATGCCTGCGTGAAACACTTGTGTTGCAATATCTTTATTTTGTGTCGCCGGGTTATTTATTTCGCAAGCGAAAACTTTTGAAAAACAGCTGGATTTTTGAAGACTTGTTTTTTGAAAAAGAATTTTTGAGATACCAGGGTAATAATAATTTCTAAATAATTTTTTATATTTGTAAAAATTTTTATATAGCAAAAATAGCGTATAAAAGGAAGAAAAGTTTTGCGCTTACTCTAGATAATGTAAATGAAAAGAAACAATTAAGAAAATTTAAAATAATTTAGAAATTGTTTGAAATAATTTTCAAAAAAATAGTTTTTTTTTGCACTACGACCTTTTTCGCGTCAAAACTTTACCTAGCTTCATTAAATCACGTGCGATGTTTGGCACTGCAGAACATGAATTTAAATTGCTAATTATGGATGATATGATAAGAATTTGTTTAAATAATTTATAACATTGACATATTTATAACCTTTTCTTATGCGAATGTGCACGCAATCGCCACGTGGCTATCGCCGCGCGCGATATCAGCATTAAAGTCTATTCGACCTATTTACGATTATACTTTCGGTACACGTTTTGCATTTAAGACGAAGTAACTGTACGCAACTAGACGATGGTCAAGAAAAAGGATGATGAAAGAAGCAAAGTACATTGCTTAAAGTGCCACTAAAAGAACTTAAATTGAATGCCGCATAAAACCGATAAGAGCAGGTCACAACGGAATTCGACGCGGGGAATGCATTTTATTACGAATACGCGCAGTTTGTAACGCCGAGTGCGGTTGCGTACATTCTGCATACGAATGACAATTGCGTAATTAGTCGAGCGCATTTAGACGAATTGCAAGGAAGCTTATTGATATATGTTCGTTCTCGCGTTACTTCCTCTTTCGTTACTCAACACAAAATTTTAATTTCAAGAACTAGAAAATGTGGAAAGAGATGCTCGACGTTGATTGTTTTGATATTTATGAGTTTCTAATATTCATTATTAATTTTGATAGCAATTAGAGAATCAATTAATTGGAGAAAATAAAATGATATACACGTCATGTCAAGTAATGTTTAAACATAAGAAAGATAACAGGTATAAATTCATACGTCGTGATGTCATAAGCGCAAATTCGTAAATTCTTCACGATATTCATCGAAGTATATTGATTTTATTTTCGTATGCCATCACTCGCGTTCGATTCGATGGTATAGATTGGCAAAATACCCAGACTCTCGCACGCCCATTCAGGCACGGTCATTCCGATCGGACAAGATAACTTTTCTACCGCGCAGTAAGGTTTTTTTAGTTTAGCAGTTTTCGACGGCCGCGAAAGTCGGCCACAAAGGCGTATTTTTGGTTAACCTTCGAGTGACACGAGGAACTATTTAAAATACAATAATATTTGGCTTTTTCTGATTACGTCGACATTGTAATTACTTATTTCTTTCTGAACGAAGCGATAATAAGAGTTTTATGATTATATAATATTATTGAAACTCATTAACATAATTGCCAGTCATCGAACCGAAAATACTGACACAGCGCGATATTCTTCTATTTTATGCACTTCGATTTACGGGTGAACGAATGTTACTCATTTATCGTCCGATCGGACCTCTAGTTTCTACTGTGACCCCGATCGATTGACGACGAAGGTGGTTTTCCTCGAGACTCACTGGCCGTGCGTTGACTTTGTATCGGCGATCGATGCCATGCGGTGAACAAACCGTGTGCACGACGGTCGTCTCGCGGGTTAAATTTAACCCAAGAACGGATATGCAGCTATTTCTCATTTCTACGCGTGAACTGCGGGCAATTAATCGGAGTAACACATTAGTTTTATTTCTTCACTGTTTTTCTAGATTGATTTTAATATAATTCGAAATGTTGGACCTTTTACTGAATATTTCTCATTTTTATCCGCAATTCTATCTCGCAATTCGTACATTGGCTCTTAGTTTATTCAACGCTGAATCAGAGACTTTATTTCGTAAAAGTGAAGATTAAAATTACGGAAAAAACAATGCCAGTAATCGGTAATTTTCTATTCAAGGTTTAACTTAGCAGAAAAATAGCAAATTTTTTGCATAAACCATTGCAGTAAAATTTATGCACCACTGCATTCCTGGCGCGAACAAGTAATTGTCCGCAAATCTAGACCGAGCGTTGAGAATTCCACTTGCGACGGAAGATTTCTCTGTGGCAACAGGATTTCGTAGAAATCGCACGCAAGCCTTTCTATGGTTCGCTGATTCTCCTCGAAGTCTCATTGGCCTTTTATTCGGACCGCGTTCCCTCCTTCGTACGTTCGCCGGCCGAAAATCGTTGTATCCTTGTTTCGTAATCGAAACTAGTTTTGCGAAATTGCATGGTCTTAAATAATATTGGTCTAGATCTGCTCGGTCAATCGCCTCGCGACAATGTTCTAGTACGATTATGGTAAGTCACACCGCAAACCACGTCATGGAAATTTCCTCAACCAACACCTTTCCTCTTGCTATCTTTCTCTGTTTCTTTCTGCTACTCTTTTTTTCTCTCTTTCTCTCTCTTATCGTGTTTCCCCTTCTTCCTTCCGTTCTCCCTCTCCCACTGTACCTCACCGTCCCCTCTTTTTAATCCTCTTCTTCGTCCCCCGCCACTATGCCGGCGAGTCTGGTATATCCGGTGCTCTTCAGCCGCTTTAGCCGGATCGTGAATACTTTGAACGGCAGCGCGATGCCGTCATCTTCTTTTCCATTTTCCTTTCCGTCATCTTCTTCCTCAAAGGCGATTATAAGGCTGGATAAACATGGCGCCGCTAGTTTCCGCTCCCGCAAGAATATATCGTGCCACTTTTGGGCGTATATCGACCTTGACGGACGAGGCTCATAGTCTCGCGTTAAGTATAGTTCTTTTTTTTTTCTTTGGCGGGAAGCTTAACGGAACACGCCGCCAATTAAATCGACTACACGTGCTCAAACTTCCGCTTGTGCGATTGAGCTAAATTTCAGTCTGCAATCTCAGTCCTGCATCTTCTTTTCTCATCCTCAATCTGAATTTCAAATGCGCAAGTTCAAGGCGGTCTTAGTTTGCAGAAGCTAATCCGACACAGGCCAAGTAAATTTGCATTTTTCGCGAATGGCAATAAATTATAATAAATTAGTTCTGACATCGGTAAAGGCAACCGCGTTCGAGTGCACAAGAGACGTATAAATATCGTCGATAACGAGTTGTAATGGAAGAAAAAACTCGAGGTTATCTGTTCGGACATTAATCGCGATTGAATTCACGCTTGCGATATTTCAAACAATTTTATATTAATATGTTTGATATATTTATTTTACAACTTTCTTTTGAAACGTACTCTTTTTATTTGTTCTTCTTATCTTTATTTTTGAAATAGTCTTTTTCTTTCAACGTGTACATGATTTATAACGAACGCAATTTGTTAAATGCTATTTACAATATCAATCGGGAAGATGTAAGCATAATTGTTACAGATATTATATTTCTTTATGCATATCGAGATATATGAATATGTAACAATGTATTAAAATATTTTTATACGTTTTTATATTTATGATGTCAAAATCTTGTTACCAGATCTCTTAAATTATCTTAAATGGATGAGATTTGTATGATTCTATAATGAGAAAATATCATTATATAATGATAAATCTCGATATTTACATCGAAGTAAAATTATTTTGATTGAATTATGTCGACAATAAGTGATATTGAATACAACTGGAATATTCTGTACAATTATTTGTAATCTCAGTACAATCTATACATTGAATGGAAATTATATAATGCGTATTATATAGAAATTCGAAGTATTGTGATTCACGCATGAGTAACACGAACTCATCCATTTTGCATTCGCGGCAATTAAAATTTCACGCGTGTGAGTGCACGTGTAGAAGGTATAACACGTGAGCGCAAGGCGAGTGTTCAGTTGCTGAGTCGAAGGGTTCAGTGGTCTCTAAGAAATAAAAGTCACGCAAGTTGTCTGAAGATACTGTACAAGGTGTCCTAAAAATTTAATCTTTCTAACAATAGATTTGTTAGGCAATTTGAAGTCAATATTTTCGTAATGATTTCGAAACATCAATTTCCGAGTTTATAATCGATGTTTTAAAAGTATTTTCTACGAAACAAATGGATGATAAAATTAGATTTTTCAATTTCTTTAGTTAATTTTGAAGTTTAATAAAATCTTTAATATTATTGTCAAGAAAAGATAGAATTCAAATTGTGCAAAAAATCTGTTATTAAAAGAAACACTCGATTTTTTAGAACACATATTTATAGAAAATTATTGAGACAAATATAAAGCAACAATTGTAACTTGTGCGATGATTTCATTCACCGCGCGTGTTTTAAAAACTCGTAAGAGAGCTAAGTACGCATGGCTTTTTTTACATTGATTATATAAGGATTGCTAGTTGAGATTAGTCATAAATGATGGTAGTGTAAAGATCGGAGAATAGCCGAAAGAAAAAAGCTTACTGCGAATTATTTCGAACGTATAAAATGCTCAACTCTTCGGCGTCTATTATTCTCTTCCAGCCACTAATTTGCTGCCTCCAGACAAGGCATAATTGCGACGAATCTGACTCGTCGGCGTCTTGATTCGATCAAACCACGCAACTAGATTAAGAAGGTCAAGGTTGTTAACGACTACGAACTTTAAATGCGTAATTTCAACGGACTCAAAAAGGAAATCTTCGGGTTTCGCAAATCTCCATACTCTTGAATACAAATTGCGGCTCGTAGAAGCCGCAATTTATTTCGCAAAAGTGTGAGATTTCATGATTTT